TCCAGCCATAAAAAAACCAACAAAACCCTGGATTTTGATAGGAAGGGGAAGAATATGGAAGATTTACTACTGAGTGAAATAAGCCAGGCTATTAAGGAGAGGCATTGTATGTCCCCACTTAATATATACTGAGTGTCTGTACTCTATGACTGAAACCGATTGACTAAAGGATATAGAAACACAGTATATAGATGTAAATACCAGATAGAGTGTGTGTGAAAGAGCAGGGTCTGGGGAAGGATATTTAGAAGACAAATAAGGAGGCAAAGCATTAATGGCACAAAGAAATGTGGCATTAACTGTTGAAGATATACATATATATATATATATGTACATATATATATATATATTTATCAACTGTACTAGAGAGAAATATTCACCTGTTGAAATATCCATTTTGTAAGACAAATAATAATGTAATTGAATGTATAAAGGAAAATGAAATAAAAAAATAAAAATAAAGAAACTGATAATCCTATAAACGTTACCCAACATCTCTGGTATGAAGCCAAAATTTCTTAAAATGGCAGAAAAGGTTCCTGATTATCATTCTAATCTTACTTTCTGTCATTACCTCCCCCAACACTATATACTCTATACACACTAAACTATGGGTGGTTCCCCAAATATTCTAAGATCATTTTCAGCTGACCTTAAGAATAGAAACCTATGGGAACCAGCAGTTAGCGTAATGGCTATGTCGCTGGACTCCCACGTAGTTGACCGCGGTTCGCATCCCGGACCCGGTGGCTTAAAACTCACGCCGGGCGCGTGTGCATGCGTGCCCAAGATCCTGAGAGGAGAATGGAGGAGAAGGGATTGTGGCGTGACCATCCCCCCTGGGGGGTGATTTCTCGCTTTCTGTCTCTATGTCTCTGTCTGTCTGGCGAGCGCACGCACCCTATAGCGAAAATCTCTTCAAAAAAAAAAAAAAGAATAGAAACCTATGAATGGATATTGTAAATGGAGGTATCAATATTGTTCATAGATGTCTGAGGATTCTTGGGTAAGATAAGTCTTAAATTAAGGGAAGGTACCAAAAATTATATGGTGTTTGCTCACACAAGCAAAGCAAGGCAGGAAAAAAATGGAAAGACCCACCTAGATGGACTAGAGACCTAAATTTAAGTAATGAAAAATAAGGCATTCATAGAGAACAGAGATAAACCATGGAGGTCTTATAAAAAGGTTTGGCAGATCAGCATTGCCTATATAAACTATACTCCTCGAATTTTATTTGTTAATTATTAGTCTCAGAGAGGTGTTTATTTTATAAGTACACATGGAAACCTAGTCCATTTCTAACAGCAAAAGAAAAATGTAGTTTTCTTCTAGTGATTTCTCTTCATATTTTTCAGTTCTCTTGTGTGCTATTAAATTCTTTACCATTTGTTGAGTTTCTTTCTGGTAACTCCAGAGATAGACTCATTACCTCCAGTTTAGTCATCATTAAAACTCCTTGGTAAAGAACCTATGTTAGCAGTTTTACTAAGTTAGCAAGTTAAATGGGATAAATAGCGAGTTAAGCAAACACTGCACAATATTCATGTCTCAACTGTTTTAATTTTGAGTAACACACTCATAAAACAATAATAGTAATAAGCGTCATTAACAATAAGATGGTGATTTGCTATGGGCAATATTAAACCTAGATTGGCCATCACAATATTAAAAGAATTTGTTGTAATATTTGTTGAAAATTAAGACCATCTTCTAAAGACAGATTACTAAAAAAAAAGGAAATAAATTTCTGGCTGAATATTATAACTGTACTTTGTGCCATTAACAATACAAAATTATTTTTGTATTATTGTTAGAAAGGATCATGGTGTGTCATTTTCATAATTCTAGAGTCTACCAGAAACAAATAAAATGGATGGAGCAATTGGTACATTGTAGTTTGAAGCAACATTGATGGCCCCAATAGACAATGAATACGTGGTCATGTAATGGGAAAGGGATATGAGAGTGAACATATAACAAATATTGTAAAGAGATCTCCGAAATTTTTGAAATTATTTGTTCATATCTTCAAAACCTTCTTGGTTGTGCCTTTGACTTTTTCATCTCAAGGTATTCTTTTCATTAATCAGGGACCAAGGTTTTGTCTGCTACCTGTCTGGTGGTTGAGCTGCAACAATAATGTAAAAAGAAACTGGAGAGTTAAAAGTGATAATGGAAGGAAAATATAGTTTTTCCCTGAGAGTACATTAAATAGAGTATTTAGTAGAAAATATTGGGTATCATGATCTTTCAAGGCTTCAAATTCTTGCCCAAGAAACTACTGATTACCTCATAATCATGAGACTACGATCTCTTAAAATACAAGATGGAACCACAGTAACATTTATTTTGTAACTACTAATGGTAAGTTAATACAATGTTTACCATACATTATACCTATAATTGCAAGTTATTTCCAATATATAAAATTAACTCTAAATAATTTCATAGTCTCTGATTTTTTACCACTTTGTAGTTATGTTACCATAAAACGTCACTTAACTACATCATGTCTCAGTTGCCTCATCTGAAAGATAGGGGTAATAAGGTAATTTTATAGAATTGTATTAAACTATATAATAGATATTAAATATAAATAAATGCCATGTCAGATAGTATGTTCCCACTAAACGTTATTATATTTCTAACAGAATATTTGCCATGAATTTTATGTATTTTAATGTATAACTCTGATGTCACCACAATCTTTAGTTAAGTCACTTTGTATCCTCTTTACAAACTATAGTCAAGAGTAGTATGAATAAGTGAAAATAATTATATTGGTAATTAAATTTTTCTTACTTTTTGTTCTTATAAATAGCAATCTTAGTCATTCTTTTCAGGTTCAAAGCCTAATACAACTACCTAGAAATGGTCTTTTCAGGACCTGGAACAAAAGTTTGCTTGGCTTATTATCTATCATTACATAGTCAAATTCGATTAACTGTGCCATTTGGCTATATTCAGTATCCATTGGTGTAATAGCATTTCTAGGATGAAATAAAATAGCTCTTGTGCTTGTTTCTCCTGTTGTTCCCATTTCACTTTCTACTTCACCATCCACCTTTTTAACTCAGGAAGTAGCAAGATAGCAATTGTGAGCAAACACAGATTGTTTTCCACTCATAAAAGAGCTGTGCTCCAGAAATTCAGTTATAATTTGACTGTGGTCCCAAGTGTAACACAAAAGGAGAGGAAATTATCTGTGGGGTGTGTGTGCACATGCATGCCTGTGTGTGTAGAAGTTTCCTGGGAGAGGGAATAAAAGAATTAGTAGAGATATATCATGAGACTAAGTTTCTAGTCAGCAATGAAGTAGAAGTACAGTTGGCTCAGAATAGCTTTGGTTACTTTCTAAAGCATGAAGTCTAGGAACATAGAGTGACCTCAGAACAGGAAAGAGGAAAAGGTAGTAAATAAGTGATTTGTTAAAATACAGACTGTTTATATTTTTGATATATGCAACTTTGAACAGTCTGAATCAGCAAGTGTGCATGTGTGTGTGTGTGTGTGTGTGTGCATGTGTGTGTGTATTAGAGAGAGATATAGAAGATAGGGGTAGGTCAGGAAAAACAAAGGATAATGTCATTTCCATTATATTTGAAATTAGATTAGACAAAATATGTTGAGATTCAATGATGTGATAAAAATTACAATTATATTTATTATTCCATAATTTCCCTCTTGCTCCATATAACATTATTTCGTTTCCCTTTACTTCCAATATATCCTCTTGTTACTACTATATTTTTACCCCATTCTTCATTTAGCTAAAAAATTCTACTGTATTAGACCAACAGTGTCTATCCAATAAACATGTCACTTCATGAGTCCAGTTATTTTAAGAAGGGGATTGGTTAACACGACTCATGAAAAGTAAAACCTGGGGTTTCATAATTTACTTCCTTTTTAATTTCACAT